CTTTGGCTAGCCAAATGCTCTGGTTGTGGATTCCTCAAGAAAATTCACCTACCTTGGCCTGGACAACCTGGCATTATTCAGCAGAAATGCAAATCATGAGGCGTTTTTCTTATTATAAAGACTTTTGTACCACGATTTGTTTGGCAATCAGTCTGGATTCAGATGTGTGTGAAATTTAAATAGAAACGACCTATAAAAGAAAAGGGAAGCTCGCAAGCGCTCACCCAGTTACTGCATTGAGAATACCACGTCGATTGGTGAGGAAACGCTTGTAATACAGTTTCCAAGCGCTGCGAACAATGGAATACATATATATATATATATATATATATATATATATATATGTTGATGTTGAGTTGTTTGCCGATCCTGGCAATTGTTTCATCACCAAGGAGGTGACATTTTCAATGGTAAGCTCGGCGATCAACTGAACACCAAGTTATAGTACCCGAGCTACAAAAGCAACAATCACCAGCGTTGTTTACAAACTGTCATATATGTATAAATAACCCACCTACAAGNTGATTCTTCAATAGACTGGCTCTGAAAGAGTCGTCTATCTAAAAGTAACCTTGTATTGCAAACATTTTGATTGTGACGGAAATACACTTACTAGGTACAAGTACATAAATAAACTGACAAAAGATTACCGGATACGCATGCCTGACAAGCGGCAAGAACCGCGAAACCGGTCGTGTGCTTTCAGGGAAATTTCGCCCAGTGGTTTACGTAGTACTTATTATATATATATATATATATATATTTCACACCTAATTAATTACATAGAATTTGCAAATATACCACATGAGCAAAGAAATGTGAAATAGGTTCAAATAAAAATCCACGAATGCCTTTTATGTGTTTGGTCCATGCGCTCATCTGTTTCTATATCTCGGTATTTTATACTTTCAGACAACTAGAAGACTGCTTGGAGTTCCCGATTTTCGTGCCATTCCGGCATCTGTGGCAAATGAATCCGGGGGATCCGAAACGCGAAGTTCTTCTTCTTCTGTTAAGTGAAATGCAAACCCGCCAACCAAGATTGGGTTACCACCTCTTGTTCTTTCTCAAAGTGGGGTAAGTTCCGTTTTGCTTGTTGTCTGTTACTGATAGTCAAGTCTAATTAAGTAAAAAAATGTGCTTTATAACATCATTTGGTGCAAATTCAGTTGCCAGATACCCCACAAAAATGAAGATACGTATAAACACAGTAAAGCCCATACCGTAAGTACTACAAGATAAGTTGACTACGGTATTATGATACAAGTCCCCTGTTAATGGCCCTAAAAGCTCGCCGAAATACAACCAGTTTCATTCGCCAATGAGAGCAACACAGGAAAGAGTCAATATTTTCGCGAAAATGTCAATAGTAAACCAGGAGGTAGTTTGTTATCAATGGCTGAATACTTGCTCTCCGTAACATGAATAACCATATTGGTAATGATCACTATTCAGATAAGCTATTAGCAGAAAGACTGCCTTACCCCACCAC